TTAACACGAGTTCTAAAAGACTAAAAGAATAAGGACCTAAATCAATAATTTCTAAAGTTGATGACTAATTAATAAACCAAAAATAACCTAATTGTTATCTAAATTAGCCAATTAAAAAGGGTCTAAGGCTAAAGTTTCTCTTTTTATTTTTTTATATTGGTAATTAATAAATTTTAAAAGAGTCGAGCAATCGGTTCGAGTAATCAGGCATCTTATGCGAAAACTTGACTCGAATTGCTCCCTAATTAATAACCAATGTATCATCCTAATTTTTAAGTCCGATTCTAGTTCTAACCTAAGAAAACGCGCTAAAGGTAGGGGGACTAAAACACGATTTCCCCCATGTTAGCTCTATATTTATTACGTTGTTTTTTAATTTCATTTCAACCGAAGTTTAGAAAAGAAAGGAAAAAAAAACCTCAAAACGCTCACCCTTTCCCTCGACCGACAGTAGGCTGACCAGCTAGAATCCTATTTAGTCGCCGTCCGGCCTTCGAAAAACCCAAAATGCTTTGAAAACCTCACCGAACCTAAATATAACCCCTAGGACCTAGTTTAGGGCTAAAACCACCGAAAAACAATCCTAAACGACCCAAAAATCGATCAAACCCTTCGGCTCCCTCTGAAATCCGATGACACTCCCTGACTCAGGTACGACCCCGATCTAGTATATATATATTTTTTTGTATTTTCACTGTAAGAAAAAAGGGGTTGGTTGTTTAGCCTAGAATATTACATGCATGTTTCTTTCTGTTTTTTTTCTGAGACCTAAGGTGGGTTTCAACCCTAAAAACCGCTATTCATTCTAAAAAATGAAGCTAAAAAGATTCGAAAGAAAGAGCTGAGAGTGGTAAAAAAATAAAAAATAGAATGCTTCGAAAAAAGGAAATAACAAAAACCTTGAAATTGTATTGCTTTCAAAAATAGCAGGTTACAATGTTTTTTTTGAAAAACTAACCCTTACACTGTTTTTTGTTTGGGTTTTATACCCATTACAAGGGAAAATTAAATCATTGCAATGTTGTTATCTTGCTTTGTGTCTTCTGCAGGTAGTGGAGAACTGGAGTGGTGGCGTGCACATGTGGCTTTTCTTCGGTTGGGATAGAGATCGACAACAATCGGATATGGGATTAAGGGCGGCTACAATAAGGTTAGGTTAGACTCAGGTTAGGTTAGGTTTTGGGCCACGGGTCGGGTCTTTGGGTATGGGTTTTATTTTGTAAAGGGTCTGGGGCTTGAGGCTTGGGTTTGGTTTGATTTGGGGTTTAATTTGGATTTGTAAATGGGCCTGAGTTTTCGTTTTTTTCTGGACATGTAAGGGTGGTTTGAATAATATTTATAATATGGATATAATAATAATTATTATATAGGTAGGTTGAAAAATGGTGATTACACCATGCAATCATACTATCTAAAAAATATACAATCTTGCAAATCTTTGAAGAGAATAATCTGTATGAATGAGGAGAAAATGAACAGACTTAATCAATTGATCAATAATATCCTAAACATTATAATCCAAATTTTTGAGTTAATACTTTAGTATTGACCTAAGTCATGACTTGATCAATTAGTATATAAAATTAAATTCATTAATCAATATTTGGGCCTAATCGAGTGAGAATTGGGCTATATTACTTGAAAAGATGAGATTTTTAAATTTAGATTAAATATGAATAAACCATAAGTGTAATTTAACCATTGAAAAAAAATCAAAGTTGATTTTCATTCAGTGGTTGCATGTTGGACATAGGTTATAGGGAAAAGGCTCGAATGGGTGATATAATCTTTTTCCCCTAGGTCATTTTCTTTCCTCTGCCTTCTTTATTCTTCTCTCCATTATCCAAAATCTTGAACATTTGATGAGAAAATAATTAACTTGGTGAATCTAAGAAATAATCATGGTTGGAAGGTAAGATCATCCTAATCATCCTTAGAGATTAAAGAAAAGATCATCATTTCTTTATGAGAGTGTTATGAAGCTAGTTGAAGGGTTTAAAAGGGTTTTTGGAGGAAAGAGCCCAATCAATGAGTTTTAACTGGTTTTATGTTGTAAATTTGTAGCTGGTACTACCTTTTATTAATCTTTTATTTGTTATATGAATTCTTGGTTGTTGGATTAGTTAAAGAGGTTGAAGAGCCCTCTAAAGCAAAAGAAAATGAAAAGAAAAATTAAGACTTGTATAATTTATTTTCAAATGTTTATGATGATCATTAAAATAAGCTTAATGATCTTAGAACATCTTTTAACAAAGTTGGAACAAAAAATGTTGAAAAATGAGAAAAATCAAGAATCAAATATGGTGAAAATAACTTTAATTACAACAAATATAGAGGCCCATAAAGGACCTCGAATGGAAAATTTGTTAAGAGTATATAGATCCTCAAATGACTTGGGTACTAAGGACAAGAATATCCTATAAAAATGCATACCTAATGGGACAAGATTATTGGGAATTAATGCATATAGACTTAAAAAAATTGGGTATAAAAATTAGAATTTAAATATGTTTTTAGAAGAGAAAAAACATTACTACATACACAAAATGCAAGTTAATACTCATGGTACTTTAATAGTGGATACTCATCCACTCAAGATATTTGATCGATGACAAGAGTCATTTCATGAAATAAATCTAAAAAAGGAATAGTGTCATTTGGTGACAATTCAAAAGATCATATTGGAGGAATAAGTTATATTGATAATAATTTTTCCATTCTTATTGAGGATGTTCTTTATGTCAACAATATAAAGCATAATCTTTTAAGTATAAATCAATTGTTTGATAAAAGGATATTATGTCATATTTAAATTTAATGGTTGTAAAATTGTTGATATTGCATCAAACATGATTATGTTTGTTAGTATTAAGATATATAATATTTACATGATGCATCTTGATGATATAAATATTTTTTATGTATGCATGGTAGCGAAAGATAATATGATTTCTGGTTACGACATAATAATTTTGGACATGATAACATGTGCATATTTCATACACTTGTTAAAAGCGATGTTATAAGAAGTTTGTTTAATAATTGATCTTGATAAAATTTGAGATGCACACATTAAAAGAAAACACAAATGGATTTCTTTTAAATCAATTAATGATATAACAACAGGTATTAAAATCAATTCATATAAATTTTTTGGGGCCTATTAAAACCACTAACTTGAGTGAAAAACAAATATATATGCTTTGATTGATGGCTACTCTAATTTTAATTGAGTTCTTTTCTTAAGCCCAAAAGATAAGGTTTTAGAAAAATTCATCATATTTTAAAAATAAATCAAATTAATAAAAGTTTACTCAATTTTAAGTGTTAGGAGTGACCATAGAACATAGTTTTAAAATCTTAGTTTTGCGACCCTAATAATATTAGCCATAATTTTTCAACATCTAGAATCACTCAATAAATAGAGTTTGGATAGAACCAAAAAACACTTTAGAAAAAATCACTATAATCATACTTTATGAAAATAATTTATTAAAATATTTTTAGGTGAAAATCACAAACATTACATGCTATAGAATAACGATTATTTTAATTTTAAAAAAACCTCATTTCAAATTTTAAAAATAAAACTCTAATATTAGATATTTTTATCATTTTGAATGTAAGTGTTTTATGTTAAACAATGAAAAATGAAGCCTTAAAAAGATTGATTAAAAAAATGAATAAAGTATTTTTTTTGGTTATGTAAACTTTAAACCTTATCATGTATAAAAGACATTTAAGAGCAAAAGATTTTATTCACTGGCTGAAGATTCAATATCCCCCAAAAAAATGTTTTTAAGATTCCACTAATTTTTCGAGTACTATGATGAAAATTTTCTATATATGAAAAAGAATAAATAACTTATGATTAATCTATTTGTAGTTTGTAACCAGTCAAAGTTTATGGTGAATTACTTGTGGATTAAGGTTATGACTTGAATAATTTATTTCACCAATCTCACAAGTCTCATATTAGTAATCTATGGTCTATTAATATCATCTTTGCTGAGACATATAGCCCTAATATACAATATCTCTCCTCGTAAGATTGAAGCCTTAAAAAAACTCGTTCACAAGTAGGGCTGTAAATGAGACGAGACAGATCGCGAGCTACTCGAGATCGACTCGGTCAAGGCTCGATAAATACTCGGATCGAATGAACTCGACTCGAGCTAGAGCTCGACTCGAGTTCTTAATGAGCCGAAACGAGCTACTCGATATTCGACTCGAAAAGCTCGTGAGCAGCTCGAAAAAATGTTATATTATAATTTTAGATTTTTTAAAATTAAATTATTAAAAATATAATAAAAATATACTATTGATAATTATAAAATTTTAAAAATATATTAAAAATTCTATAATTCAACTACCCTCAAAATTTAATTAATGTCTTTACAATGAGCCCTAAACCTTAACCATAAACAATAAATCTTAAACTATAAACCCTAAACTCTAAATCATAAACCCTAAATCATACTTACCTTATAAATCAATACCAAGTCGATTAATTAATGTCTAAACCTTAAACCCTAAATTATAAACCCTAAAAACTAAACCCTAAAACATAAACCATAAACCCTAAATCTGATTATGTGATAGAGGTTAAATTATGCACATGAGGGTAACATACAAATTATGCAAAATTATGTTATGTGACTCCTAAATAAATCAATCGCATACTTATACATAAACATATCAACATGCAAAATAAATATACCGATTGAAAGATAAAAGCTATGATCAATAAGAAATAAGCAGTTAAAATAAAGTTGTCTCGATTGAAAGATTGTTTTTTTGAAATGAAGGTGACAATGAGCTTATATTATCATGTAACCATTTGAGAAGTTACTAAATGTTATTAGTGATACGAGTATAAGATATAATATATATATATATAAAATTGATAAAAATACAAAATATTATTATTTTATTTTTTCTAGTTTGACACTAAATATTATTACTATTTCAGTTTTTCACATTACTCTGTCTCATACTTCCTATTCTAAAGATGCAAGATTGCATAATGCTTTATTCGAAAGCAGCTGAAAGATAGCATCGAAAATAATGGATTCGACTACCTCGTAACACGTCCAACCCACTGATACGATAACGGCTACTACCAGTGCATTTGTGAACTTCCTGTATATTTCCAGTTTTACCATCATCCTTCTAGCCTGTTGCACCAATATACCATTGCTAAACTTTCATTATAGAATTTCAAAAGATGAGATAAACTCAATAATCGAATGCATGTATGAATACTGCAATTATTTGAAACAGTTGAAGAAGAAAACATACCTGAAGTTTATTTAAAGTTGCAGAGAGGGAAGTAAATATCCAAAGAATGAAGAAGGCATCTAAGATTGCGACGGGAAGAACCAAAAACAGTCTCGCCTTTCCCGAAAGATCACTCACTGCACCGGCATTTTCCACCAGTTCAAGAGCTTCGGATGCCAGAAAGAAGGTTACTCCAACCATGATTACATTCGAAGTAAGCCCACCGAGGGTCGGCCTCATGACACCGTAACCCATGGAAACCATCAAAATAATAATCCGTGAAATTGTACGTTTGATAGTACCGAAGGTAACAGCCCACACGGTGATGCCGACAGGCCTGAATACACCCTCACACAATTATCAGCTCCGCAAGAAGCAAGCTGGAGGCTTCTGCAATTTTCATTCTTCTCATGGTTCTTCCACGCCAAACGGTTAACTGCAGAAACATGGCACATGAAAGGATCGAGCTGGATGATCGGAGCAGCGTTCACACTTGGCGTTGAAATGCTGTCATCGCCTCTTTCGACATGAAGGCTCCAAATTTCAAGGAGTCCAGTTTCCATTCCAACTGCAAGAAGACCGTGATTTCTTTGTCGGTCGAGACCAACCCAAGACAGGGCATTGAGCTGCTGTTGAACGGCGGTAAAGTCAGAAGCTGTTGAACTGTAGATGTTTTCTCCACCCCCCAAATCTTCACCGTGTGGATTGAAAGATTAGAACCACCATTCTCAACCTGTTGTACGCTACTATGTTTTCTTGACTCTAGGAGTGTTTGGGTGGTGAGAAAATATGTGAAAGAGAAGGCTTTTTGACGTGAAAAAAACAGGGGAAGAAGACGAGGAGAAAGTTGTAGAGTTGTGAATTGAAAACAATCCCACATCGGTAGTGAATAGAGAGAGAATCTTTGAGTCTATTATAAAAGGCAAGGGATACGCAGGTTTAAAACAATCCACGAGCTTGAATCGAGTTTAAATTCTTGAGTTTCAATTGAGTTTGAATTGAGTTTGAATTGAGTTTGAATCGAGTTTGAATTTCAAGTTTTAATCGATCTCTTGAAATTTTTTTAGTTGAGTTTTAATTGAGCTTGAGACTCAAAGTTTAGTTGATCTCTTGAATTTATTTTTGAGTTCGAGCCTTTTCGAGTTCGAGTCGAGTTTTATTATTTTCTTTCGAGTTCGAGACGAGTTTGAAAATTTTAAGTTCGCGAGTTTTCGAGTCGAGTTTACATAAAATGTTTTTGAGTTCGAGTCGAGTTCGACAATATTCAAGCTCGACTTGGCTCGTTTACACTCCTATTCACAAGCACTATAAATCCTATGACATGTCCATTGTAACTGAAACAGAGCTAATAATCAAATGCTCATTTTATATCACGAAAATGGCTATTTACATTATCATATCATCACAAAACTTTTATTAATATCAGATAAAGCATTTAGCTCAATTTATATATCAAACTATTTACATTATCATATCATCACAAAACTTTTATTAATATCAGATAAAGCATTTAGCTCAATTTATATATCAAACATGACAATTAGCATAATTTCATAAATATATCACAATTTACATATTACACAAAAGTTCTAATATGCTTGGATGTAAAAAATTCATCAAATTTTGATAACAAAAGACATCATACTTTACCTTATCAAATAACATATTAGTCAAATTGCTTAAACAGAGTCGAAATCACAATTTAAAGATTTCATACACAATACCAACACAAATCGAAATCACAATTACGTATAAAATGTAAATACAAACTTAATTTTGACTACACTAACATAATATGGGCTTATAATATTATTTGGATTGGTAAGTTTTTCGATTAACTACAATTTTCTTATTTCCTTAAAGATGTCAGTAATTTCTTACTCTTCCAAAACATAAAAATCACAAAACAAAAACATATTAATATACTAAAATCAATATCAATGTCTAGAGTAAACATATATGAACCCTAACATTGTTTTAGGTTTTGAAGAAATCTTACTGAACTTGAAGCTAAAGACTGGTGGTATAAAATGATATATTATTTATTATGTTATCTAAATTTAAGTTTGATATCTGAAATCGTTTAAGAAATCTGGAATTTTTTGAATTCTCTCGCTCAATTCATTAAGTGTTCATCAATGATGATGAAAGATTGAAAAAGATGAAACAAGTAGACAATCTTTCCCTCAATTCGATGAGAAAAAATAGAAATATTTTAGTATTTTTCCTACAAAAACACTTTTTTTTTAATTTAAAGTCCATTACTATAAAATGACTAAATCACCAATTTCAATTTTCTATAACACCAGTTTTTTGACACGACCATTATTTTCCATCAATTACCACATATATTAGGCTTTTGGAATAAATGTCATGCGATTCCTCCTATTTTGTTTCCTTTACGATTAAATCCTTAAACTTTTAATTGTCATTTTTCAGTTTTCAATTGAACCACAAATTGAACTATAATTTAATCTAACAAACTTAGTCGATTTATATACATTTTCCAATAATTTAAATGAATATGTTAATCTGCGGCGGATAATGGCAAGGATGGCAGACGATCGGGATCGTAAATTAGGTGGCAAGATGAGTGAAGGTTGCACGACGATGAATGAGGAGGGTGCCGAAATACAGTCAACAACTGGTTGGTGAGTAAAGAAAGCTAAAGGGGGTGCAGCTAGGGTTTTTGGAGGAAAGCTAAAATAAATCGTACATTATCTAAGGAAGAGATGGTATAGAGATTGTTGACATATATTCTTGTTAGGAAAATAAACCGAGTACAAGTAATTTCCCTATAACCAGATTAGTGAGAATGCGAAAATAAAAGCGGAAAAATAATACCCGAAAAATTGATAATAGAGTTCAGCCAATTGTGCTTACGTCTCCGGGCTGCTGCAGATCTTTTACTAAGAGAGAAAATTTACAGGTGTTTACAAAACACTCACTACTCACAAGAAATCTCTCTAGTATAGGAAGAAAGAAATGTTTTGGGATGATTTTGAAGCTAAATGGGTAAGGGTATTTATAGTAGAAACTTAGGGACTAATCTTTGAAAATACCCTAAAGTGCAATGACTAAAGTGAATTTACCCATTCCTATTTTCAACAAACATCTACCAAAATTTTACCAAACTTTGAAAAACATTTTTCAAAGAAACATTTACCAAACTTTGAAAAAAACATTTTCCAAAGTTGGTTGCCAAACTTTGAAACTTTTAACAATCTCCCACTTGAAGACTGATTTTAATATGTCTTCACACCTCGATCAATGCAGCAGCATGTCTGGTCTTGTTATTCTAGCATGCCAACTGAAGTTGAACACAACTTCAGTTTGTCCGTAGTCACCGTCTTTGTCAACATGTCTGCCGGATTTTGAGCTCCACTAATCTTTTCAAGTTTCAAAATCCCATCTTCCAGAAGAGACCGGATAAAATGATATCTCAATTGTATGTGCTTTGTCCTAGAATGAAAAGACGGATTCTTTGCTAGATGGATAGCACTTTGACTGTCGCAATACAAGATATTGTTTTCTTGTTTCTTGCCTAACTCTTCCAAGAAACTTTGGAGCCAAACCATCTCCTTGCTGGCTTCCGTAATAGCGACATATTCTGCTTCAGTTGTGGAGAGAGCAACTATCTTCTGTAGTTGAGAAATCCAACTCACTGCAGTTCCTCCTAGAGTATAGACATACCCTGTAGTGCTCCTTCTGATGTCGACATTTCCGGCTAAGTCAGCATCTACATAGCCTGTCAGTATCATATCTCCACCTTTGAAACAAAGTGCTTTGTTTGTGGTACCCCGAAGATATCTGAGGATCCATTTGACTGCTTCCCAGTGTACCTTGCCCGGATTATTCATGTACCTGCTAACAGCTCCCACTGCATGAGCAATATCTGGTCTGGTACAAACCATAGCATACATCAGACTTCCAATTGCTGAGGCATACGGCACCTTCACCATGTGTGCACGTTCTTCCTCCGTCTTTGGTGATTGGTCTTTGGAGAGTCTGAAATGAACACCTAAAGGTGTACTTACTGGTTTAGCATCTTGCATGTTGAACTTGGAGAGTACTTTGTTGATGTACTCAGCCTGTGATAACATCAAAGTCCCCTACTTTGTGTCTCTCTTGATCCTCATCCCAAGAATCTGCTTTGCAGTGCCCAGATCCTTCATAGCGAACTGCTTCGACAATTTTTGCTTCAAGTGTATAATCTCTTGTATGTCTGAGCCTGCAACGAGCATGTCATCAACGTACAATAATAAAATAATGAAGCTGTTGTCGAACCTCTTGATGTAGCAACAATGATCTGCTTGGCATCTGATAAAACCACTGCTACTCATGAAGCTATCGAACTTCTTATACCACTGTCTAGGAGCTTGTTTTAAACCATACAAGCTCTTCTTCAACCTGCATACCAGGTTTTTCTTGTCTGCCTCTATGAAGCCTTCTGGCTGCCTCATATAGATTTCTTCCTCCAAATCACCATGAAGAAAAGCTGTCTTTACATCTAACTGCTCAAGATGTAAATTCTCTGCAGCTACAATTTTCAACACCAGTCTGATTGTAGACAATTTTACGACTGGAGAGAAAATTTCATTGTAGTCAATACCTTCTTTTTGCTGAAAGCCTTTGACAACCAATCTTGCTTTGTAGCGTTTGCTCCCATCGTGCTCTTCTTTGATCCTGTAAATCCACTTGTTGTGGAGCGCTTTCTTGCCTGGTGGTAATTCAGCTAATTCCCATGTCTGATTTGACATAAGCGAGTCCATCTCATCTTTCATGGAAAACTCCCACTTGACTGAATCCTCCACTTGCATTGCTTCATCATAGCACTCTGGTTCACCATTGTCAGTCAGCAACAAGTAGTGTAAAGAAGGAGAATATCGTTGGGTTGGTTTAGGAATTCTGGAGGAGCGTCTCAGTTCTGGTGTGCCTGGTTCTTCTTGAACTGCTTCAGGATTGATCTGAACATCATTTCCAGAAATCTCCTCGAACTCAGCAAATTCCTTTGTTTCAGCTTCGGTATTACTTGATTCTGCGGTTGACTTATCTTTGTAAATCACATTTTCATTGAAAATGACGTCTCTGCTTCTGATGATCTTTCGATTTTCGTAGTCCCAAAACCGGTAACCGAACTCATCACCACCGTAACCAACAAAGACGCATTTGTTGGACTTGGCATCAAGTTTACTTCTTTCAGCAGAGTTTATGTGTACATAAGAAATACAACCAAACACTCTTAAGTATGAAAGGTTTATGTCTTTCTTGCTCCAAGCTTCCTCTGGTATTCCGCCATCCAAAGGAACTGAGGGCCCACGGTTGATCAAGTAAGCTGCAGTGTTGATAGCTTCAGCCCATAGAAATTTGGGCAATCCGGCATGTATCCTCATGCTTCTGGCACGTTCATTCAGAGTTCTGTTCATGCGCTCTGCTATGCCATTCTGCTGCGGTGTTATGGGAACTGTTGTCTCCATCTTGATCCCATTGTTTTCGCATAAATCTCTGAATCTACTGTCTCTGTATTCTCCTCCATTGTCAGACCTCAACCGCTTGACTTTCAAACCAGTCTCATTTTCCACCATGGCCTTCCATTTTCTGAAGGTATCAAAGACTTCTGATTTCTTCTTCAGAAAATAAACCCACACCTTCCTTGTTGAATCATCGATGAAGGTGACATAATATAGTGAGCCTGCAAGAGATGGAACAGGGGATGGTCCCCATACATCAGTATGAACCAATTCTAACCTTTCTGCCTTGGGAGTCTTGCCAATCTTTGTAAAACTGACTTTCTTTTGTTTTCCAAAGATGCAATCCTCGCATAGTCCGACATCTACATTCTTTAGATCCGGCAGCTTCCCTTTTGACAGAAGTATCTTCATTCCTTTCTCGCTCATATGGCCAAGCCTTTGGTGCCATAGGTTTGATTTTCCATCAGCATCTGCTACTGCAATGATATTCTCTAAATTTGAGGTTACATAGAGAGTACCGGTCTTCTTACCACGAGCAATGACGAGTGCTCCTTTGGTAATCTTCCATTCACAGCCTGAAAAAGTTGTACTATATCCTTCTCCATCAAGCTGCCCAACAGAAATCAGATTTCTTTTGAGGCCAGGAATATGTCTCACTCCTGTCAGCTTCCAGGTGGTCTGGTTTGGCAGCTTTAGTCGGATGTCTCCTTTTCCGACAATCTTCAAGGTTTCATCATCAGCTAGATGAACCTTCCCAAAATCACCACTGACATAGTTCTCCATGATTTCTCGGCATGGGGTGGAGTGGAAAGATGCCCCTGAATCCAAGATCCATGATTCAATCGGATTGTTGACGCTTAAAATCATGGCATCACCTGTCTCCTCCGTCATGTTGGCAGATTTCTGTGCGCCGGTATTTTTCTTCGGTGCTCGGCAATCTCTTTTGAAGTGACCCTTTTTGCCGCAATTATAACATGTAAAATCTTTATTTCCTGTTCTTGATTTGCCCCTTCTAGATTTTGATCTGCCACGATTTGAATTTCTTTCTGAAGATCTCCCTCTAGACTCCGTGTGTAAGGCTGAGGAGGTTGATGCTTCACCCGATTCTCTTTGTCGAATTTCTTCACTCAATACCAGATCCCGAACATCGTCGAATTTTAATTTGCTGTTTCCCGACGAACTGCTGACTGCTGTAACAGTAGCATTCCAACTGTCTGGTAGAGATGATAAGAGAATTAAAGCTCGAACTTCATCATCGAACTCAATTTCCACTGAACTCAACTGGGTTGTGATTGTGTTGAGTTCATTTAGGTGTTGTGCCACCGATGCCCCTTCCGCCATCCGCAAATTGAATAATCGCCTCATCAAATGAACTTTGTTTGAGGCCGATGGCTTCTCGTACATACTGGAGAGAGCCGCCATAAGACCTGCCGTGGTCTTTTCCTTTGCTATGTTAAAAGCAACATTGCGGGATAACGTCAGTCGGATAACTCCGAGGGCTTGTCTGTCGAGAAGAGCCCAATCTTCATCCTTCATGCCCTCTGGTTGCTTTCCTGAGAGAGGTTGATATAGATTTTTCTGGTACAAAAAAATCTTCAATCTGTATCTTCCAAAAGCCAAAGTCCGCACCATCGAACTTTTCAATTTTCACCTTCCCTTCGTCTGCAGCCATCGCTCCCACTCGAATCTGGCTTCGTTTGGATCGTTTCTGACAATTCTTGCGAATCACCGTGTATTAGAACACCACCGTCGACAAACTCGTATCGCCGACCGAATTTCACTATTCACGAAATTCACTATTCATGTGAATAGTAATGAATAGTAACCTCGCAGAAAATTTGACAAAATTCACAACCAAAAGCTCTGATTACCAGTTGTTAGGAAAATAAACCGAGTACAAGTAATTTCCCTATAACCAGATTAGTGAGAATGCGAAAATAAAAGCGGAAAAATAATACCCGAAAATTGATAACAAAGTTCAGCCAATTGTGCTTACGTCTCCGGGCTGCTGCAGATCTTTTACTAAGAGAGAAAATTTACAAGTGTTTACAAAACACTCACTACTCACAAGAAAGCTCTCTAGTATAGGAAGAAAGAAATGTTTTGGGATGATTTTGAAGCTAAATGGGTAAGGGTATTTATAGTAGAAACTTAGGGACTAATCTTTGAAAATACCCTAAAGTGCAATGACTAAAGTGAATTTACCCATTCCTATTTTCAACAAACATCTACCAAAATTTTACCAAACTTTGAAAAACATTTTTTCAAAGAAACATTTACCAAACTTTGAAAAAAAACATTTTCCAAAGTTGGTTGCCAAACTTTGAAACTTTTAACAATTCTAAAATCTCGCATTTCCCCGGTAATGTAAGATAAACCTAATGGCCTTTAGAGTTAACATTACTATTCCTTATCTCTAAAAAGAAGGAAATGCACCATATATATTCATTGGTGCAAATTAGGGGCGTTCAAAGTTATATTTTAACCACATTAATCGATTAAGCCGAAGTTATTTTCGATTAATTGGTCGATTAACGATTAAATATTTTTTTTCAAACTATTATTAAATATTTAATATATTATTTAGCCTTAGGAGTGTTTAAATTTTGGTTTTTTAAACGAATTAACCGACCGAATTAACCGAATCAACCAAAAATATTAAATATTTGATATATAATATATAATATATAATATATATTATTTATAAATATCGGTTAATTTAGTTAACTGACCAATTAATCAAACTTTGTTCGGTCCAGTTAAATTTTTTTTAAAAAAATTTCAATTCGATTAACGGTTAAAAGGGAAAAATTTTCGCTTAATGAATTTTTAGAAGTTTGTTTCTACCGGTTAATCAAATTAACTGTTTGGAACACCGCCTAGGTGCAATCTTGGCAAATACTAATGGGAAAAGCAAGGAGCTGAGAGGACTTTCTGCATTGATACTAGCACCGAACTTGCTTTGATTCTTTCCTTTTTATACATCATGGTGCTCAATATTTTGACCCCCTCAAGGATCAGTAGATATTGCGTAAGTTATCAAAACATTGCATGTAATAATTAAGGATAATTATCGAGTCTATCGCGAGTTAGACAGTGCTTAACTCGTGTTCGTTAAAAAATTTTATTGTTCGATTCGACTTGCTACTTGTTGAGCTCATTAAAATTTTACTCGACTCGTTCTCATTAAAAAAATTTATTGTTCAACTCGTTGCTCGTTCAGTTCACCAAAATTTTTGGATAGGATAATCAAGATTGAGTTTTGGGTGTAATAAATTAATAATTAATAATTTAATATTTTTCTTATTGTTTATTAAAAATTAATATATTAAAAAATTAGTAGTAATTGCTAATTACTAATTTAACATCTTTATTATTATTCATTAACAAATTAGTAATTATTATTTAGACTTTTTTTAATGCAATAATTTTAAGCTAACTACTAAAAAATTGTAAAAAACAATAATAAACTCTTCACGAACTTATCAAGTCTAGTTGAATCTTGTTTGACTTAACTCGTTAAGATCTCGAGTTGAGTCAACCTAAATCGAACATTAACTGAATTTTAACCTAATTAAATTCGAATAACTCGCACGTTGTTCGACTCAGTAACCATCCTTAGTCATTTTGAGAGTGCTGCGACTGTTGAATCATGGTACAATACCCGGTGCGTTCACTTTAGTAATATAGCATGTGATCAAATGATTCTAATTAATAATTATGTTTCTTCTGATGTTGTGATATTTAAAATGGAAACGATTCAAAATTTTGGAATTTCATATAGAAATATCTTATGTTTTACTATTGATAATATTAAAAATCTTTTTTCTAAAGAAAAAAAATGAAGGTTAAAAAACTAGAACTATAGCTTCTATTTTGACAATCATATGAGAATACAAATACATGGATGAATACTTGATGCATCAATGAGATGGTACACAGTAACTGAAAACAAAACAAAAAATTGAATACAAAATTACAAAATACATGTAGACGAATATAAGGGTTAGCCAATAATATTACCTTCCACATTTACTTTGCAATGCCGAACAGGGATGGACCTAGGCGGGGACGGGTGGAGGCAATCACTCCCTTAAAAATTTAAAATAATCGTATGTTTTAGATTTCTTGTATATGTATTTTTCATTGAAAATATGTTTTTGTCCCCTAGAATTGTATAAGTTCAAGTCCATCACCAGAATTTTATAACTTCAAGTTACTTCCCTAACATAAATCATGTGTTTGTCCATGATGTTGAACCTCGAACCATGTTGTACCCAATGAGCTGATTTCTCGAGTCTCGCCTTTTCATAACTCTGCCAATCATCTCAACTGAATCCTTTTCCACAAATGCTTATTTACATGCTTCTCAGTCTCAACCGATGTTTGGACTTACACAACATTGGCGTTTGTTCGAGCTCCTCTGGGCTTCTTCTAAATCCTTCAGAAACCTGTATTTTTACTCCGAACACGAGTGCTGGTTAGGCGAAGTTCAGCTCTTGTTAAACCAACATCTACTCTATTTACAAAGCCGACCTCTTAGAGTTGAGAACCACGGTTCCACCAAGTAGAAAACGGATTCCAGAACTGCTGGCATTTAGCTGAGCAACGGAACGTGACTCCTCATAAGTTGTTCCACCAACAATGAATATAACTACCTCCTGTGGCCTGATATTTAGATGGAGCAAGCATCACTGAGTTTACTAATTTTATCTTTGTTTGTGTTTATCATTAATAACATAATCTTAGACAAGGGAAAGTTTTCCTAAAATTGTTATGAATCAACATAGTTCTACCCAGAATGAGTGGTCTACAAAAGAATGCCCTCAAGCATTTGTGACATCGTGTGATGCAACAGGTAATGCCAGTTCTAGGGCTGCAAATGAGCCAAGCTGAATGTGCTTCAGCTCGGTTGGTGGTTACTCAAATCTCAGCCAGAAAAGAACTAAATATGCAAGCTCAAATGCCAAGGGGCATCCACTATACAGTTATTCCGTAAACAGAGATCAACGGCAAACTTTCTCGAAATAGTTGGAAAGCTTTACTAATAGTAACAAACCTGCCCTGCTGAAAATGATTTCCAACGTATGGGTAGTCCACATCTCTCAGCCGGCCGGTGCTGGGTGTAGACATTCTCAACCCCCTAGAAGAAAAATTTGAAAATAATCTATAAGCAAACGATGGAAGAATCTGCAAACAAATATGTAAAACCTTTTCCATCAGACCTCTAGTCCACGAGCCATGTTGCGAGCAATATTTAGAAAATCACGATTTCCATAAAGATCACCGGTGCGCTTATCAAGCTCTGCTTGCTTTAGGAGAAATTGGACAAGCTGTTCCACAATTGGCAACAAATTATAACCAATTTCCCTAATTAAATGACAACAAGAATAGAAGAATAATTCTGAAAAACAAGACTGCTGACTGATTCAGCATCACACAGAGAATTAACCAAAGAGTAGTGACGGAATGCGTAGCATATAAAACAGATATGCCGACAAAAAGAATGTTTAATCAGATAACTAGATTGCCAGAAGAGATGTCTGTTTGAAAAAATCAATATGATTGATTAACATTAAATTCTGGTTAAGGATGGTAACCCACAAACAACTTTAAAAATGGACATGGACGTCCACAGGAAAAGATGATAAATAGAATGACAATGACACAGGAATTCCAAGCAAAAGAATTTGCATGTTCGTTACGTTACCCCAGGATTGTACGTGGCTGATCGAGATGCTAGTTTGTTAAATAGCTGCATCAATTAGACAGGGCTCTCCTTCTCATAGCGCAAAGCATACAACATAAATAGACGAAGTCGATCAATATCAGATATGCTTTCATTGTTTAAAAGATTGGTCACTGCCTGCAAAAAATCATGTAAAATTAGGGTAGTCAGAGATTGACAAGTGCATCATGAATTTAAAATTTTATTCCGAGATCATCTTCAAGATGTAATAGTTCAAATGGAGTATCATCTATATATCTCATAACAGTAACCTAAAACTAAACACTACTGAATAAAATGACTAAAGAAAATCCTGAGATCCAATTTTGACCTGTACATGGTAGGAAAAGGTAGGTTTAACTAAATGATGGGTTAACAGAGAATGAGCAATAACCAAGGACAAAAGTTGTTGCAGTATAATGTGTATTGTAAATAAATGATAAATCATGGTGTCTGTTTCTATGTATAGTGATTATTATTATCATACTTGGTTACATATAGATCTCCTATTTAATTATACATGCTACTGATCATCTTCAAGAAGAATTCAAGAACTTATATTTCTTCCATAATTGCTCATCCTAATTCCTTTAGACATCTACTTGGGAACTTAAAGTTCTTTTTATTTTATTCCTTAGTATATTGGCCACTATATCCGAAGATGTAATGACTGAGTAGCTACTAGTGCAGCATCAGAAATAGAAAATAATCAAGAAAATATAATGGTAAATCTCATTAAAGAGGAGCCCGCAACCGGCTTCTTATACCTTTACTGGCTTTTGAGGGTTTGCAGTCTTAATCATTTGGTCAACAAATAGCATCAGGTATTTTGGCTACAATTAAATATTATTTCATTCCGAATTTTTGCTTCCAAGAGTGTATCATTTAACGTGTAAGGGGGAAAATTGCTGCTAACATATTCTTCCATAAACTCTTTTGCCACTCATGTAATTCAGTCCAAAAAGATGATGACTAAAATCTTTCCTTTCCTTAAAACATGAACTCCGTGAGACAGCAGCTTTTTTAACAGTTTCAACCGTCACCAATTGACAACAGTTTCAAATCCACATGATAACAAGCAGTCATCTATCCATTTCAACAGTAGCTTTTATTGATCAATCTTAATCATTCCAAGAAGTGCACTTTTAACATCCGTAACAACAACAAATGCAACGCCCCCATGCAACACCCAGGGTTTGTGCAGGCCCATTTACAGACCCAACAGTAACCGGCCCAGATCCAGAAACCCACAGGAAACCCTAAACCCAATTTAGGGTTTATATCATCTCTTGCCCCAGCCGCCAGCATCACAGTCGTTGGATCTAGTTTTGATCCAACGGCCCAGATGGTCCCAACAAGGAAACCCTAGGGTATTATAACCCTAGGGACACGTCCCAGCCGCCGTTGCCTCCAGTGCCACGCCACCTCGCCGTTGAAGCCTCCAGAAGCTCTGCTGCCACGATGACAGCCACACACGTCGCCTCTACGGTGAGTCACCAGCATAGCTTTGGTGACTCACCAAGGCTTTCATCCTCTGGACTGGTCCGACAAGAGCCTCACCGAGGCTATAAAACCTCGTTTCCCCTGCAAACAACAAAAAAAAGGGGGAGGAGAAAAAAAGAAACGAGATACAAAAAAAAAATACCAACGATCCAGTCAACAACAACACAGCAACCAGAAAAAAAAAGAGAGAAGAGAGAGGAAAGAAACTTCCTCTGTCATCGGAGAGTCCTAACTGTCGCTGGAAACAACGAAAACCGAAGGTACTTTCGTAGATTTGCTCCGATTGGGAGCTTTTTAGGGAAAAAGAACACCAGAATCGATTTTAGATCGTCCCGATCTATATTTTGGTGTATTTTAGAATTTTTCGACCACCGTTAACGGTGGCCGGCAGCGGTGGTCGGAGCCCGACAGCGGTGGCTGACCGGGACTGTCTTCTCTCGTTTTAGAGAGAAGCCAGAGAGAACTCTGGCTCTCTCATTTTTGAGAGAGAAGAGGAAATGAAAAAAATGAGAAAGCTGGCCCTTCGGGCCAACCGATTGGGGTATGTATACCTCTTCCCAAACGACGCCGTTTGAGAGGGGTATATTTGTAATTTCGCGCATGGCCAAATTCTTTCCGCAGCCATCCGAGTTTTGTAATTATTCATTTTAGTCACTAAAATTGAATTTTGAACCTTTTAATTCAACCTTCGAATTTTATTTTATTATGTTTTAGTCCTTAACTGTATTATACATATATTTAGGTTAAATGCCTTATTTAGTCCTTCATAATTTTTATAATTTATTTTTTAACCCGAATTAATTAAATAAGGTTAAATTACATTATTAGCATTAAGTGTTTTTTTATTAATTCGAATTATGCCCTTTAATTTTGATATTTTACTTTTTTAGTCACAAATATTTTGTTTCTTTTCACTTTGATCCTGATTGTTTTTATATATTTGGCAATTTAATATTATTGCTTTTAAATTTATTTTAAATATTATTTATTTTAAATATTATTTTGTTATTACTTTTATATTATTATTATTTTCATATTAGTCACATAAATATATATATATATATATATATATATATATATATATATATATATATATATATTTTAAATAATAATGTATATTTATTTTCAATATCAAAGAAAAGGGCAGTCTTAATACAACTAGATGTCCTATTCTGGTATTTTAAATAATTAAATATTATAAAAATTATAATTTTATTTTATTTAAATTATTATATTTTTAATATTTATTTTTTATTAATATCGAAGAAAAGAGCTGTCTTAAGGCACCTAGAAGTCCTTTTCTGATATTTCTAAATAAGTAAATATCTTATTTATGTTCAATATATTTTCATAATTATAATTTTGAAATAATAGGATTATAAATTAAATATATTTTGAATTTTTAAATTTCTAATAATAGAGACAATTTATAATTAAAAAGTACCAATTTTGGGCGTTGTAGGGGTGCTAATCCTTCCCTAAACGTAACTGACCACGAATCCCTTTTTATTATTAAAAAGAACGAATTTTTGGCTAAAATGTAGATCAGTTTATCTTTTAATCGATGTTTTCTTAAAAACTCTTTTAAAGGATGATTTTTAGGTATTCGACCTACCTGACCCAAAAGGCCGATGGCGACTCCCAAATCATTTTAAAAACCATTTATTCACATCACTTTTCCTGCCAAGAAAAATATTTCGTGCCCGGACGAAAACCGGTTATGACAGCTTGGCGACTCCGCTGGGGACCAGTCAAACTTTAAAATCAATTGTAAATTGTCTCTATCAGTTAGAAATTAAAAATTCATATATTTAATTTTTAATTCTTTTCTTTCAAATTTTTTATTACTTATTATTTTTATATTATTATTTTTTTATTTTTTTTATTTATTTTATTCAAGTATTAATTATTTTATTTGTTTGTTAGAGGTTTGAACATTTCTCCTCACACACAACACTTGCATTGCATAACATAAGCTTTCTAATCAAGCTTGTCCCTTTTAAGTGGGAGTGAAAGCGACGTCTTCGTGAGAATTTATTCTCCGTGTCAGACCTAGCAAGTAACTTTCGGGGTTCATATGCTCTATGTCTTCGTGAGAATTTATTCTCCGTGTCAGGCATAGAGAAATGTGTCCCCTCGAATTGAACTCGACCCGCTTAAGTCTGTAATGGACTAGGATTGAGGGTTGACAGCCTAAGGGGGCATCAACAAGGACAATTCGAGTACCTTTAATCCTAGAACTGAAAACCTGCATATAATAAACCCTAGAAACTCTCTCGATCTGAAATCATGCCGAAATGTTGTTCAAAATAGGTGTACACAAAGGAGAAATAAGTTCTAACTTTTGTTTTTTTTACTAAATAAACGCATGCAAACTAGAAATCATGCAGTTAGGTTAATTTTTCCAAACAAAGCATGGAACTAGAAAACATGAGGTTAGGATTTATATGCCATGATAGATAGGATTTTTTCCTCTTTTTATTAATTGGTACTAACCAGTTTATTTTTTCTCCTTTCTCATTTTACATTACTCTAACCTGTTTGCATTAATTTGTTTTGTTTGAATTGCATGATCATGACATAACCAAAAGGTGTTTACTTGAAAGACTGTTCATCAAATTGGAAAGAAATCATAAATGGACAAAAAGTTTTATGATCAAACAAAATATGATGCGGCCAAGGGAAGACATCCTGAAGAAACCACGAGAATTGAGGGAAGTTTTGTACATAGAGAACCAGTTATATTAGTACCAAAAGTATTACACAAAGATCCTACCAGATTGATACGAAAAGCAGTCTATGGTAAGAATATCAGTCAAGGCATTCAGAGTAGTGGAGGTTTTTATGAAGCTCAAGCATGTTATTTGAAGGACTTGAATGACCAAAACAAGAAATTGAGCATAGAAATGAAAACCATGCATGAAGATTTTCAGAAGAACAGTCAAGCCTTTCGAAATGCTGGCATAGGAAACACCCCAGAAGAGTGGATCACAGGGGTCACCAAGCTGAAAAGAACTGTAACATATATGAAGATCTTGTTCAAGAACTTCTTGGACAGAAAGGTTCTCTTACAAGGGAAAATGAGCAACTCCGAGAAATGACACAGAAGATGAAAAAGAATGTCATGGAAGAAGTTGCAGTCCAGACAAATAATATGGTTCTTAAGTGATAGATTTAGCTGATTTTATAAGGAGATGAAGCAGACTGAAGACTCAACTTTTTGAGCATGAATGGAAACTAACTGGGCTTTGGAGAAGTTAAGAGTGAAAGATATCCTTATATGTAAAGTTTTGTTTGATGTATCGAAACTTTTGTGTTCAATGAAATATGTTCTAAGATTATCACTCTTGAGTAAACACCTTTTCATACATGCATTTGCATTTTGCATCTTTGCATTTTTCATTGTGCATTTATACTCTTATATTTGTT